ATTGCCAATTGGCGGGAGCTACATTGTAGCTTGTAACGGTCCTTCCATCACTAGTGGCAACTTGAAAAGATAGGCTTTGACCATTGAGATACGAATTGCTCTGCCAATTTTGACCCCAATTTCTCGACAGCGATTGCCACCCGGTTTTCGACCCCTTGATCGACACGCTGTGGACGTCTCCCGCACCGGCCACATTCGTCACCAATACTAGGTTGAAGTACGAGTGCCCGTTTATCGTGAACCTGATTCCTCCCTTCTTTTTGCATGGAACCCTATTAAAAAATAAAATAAGAAATATGTTAGTACGTCAAGTACTTGTACCAAATTGAAATTGAAGATCTCGTTTGATTTAAAAATACGCGCATCTATTAAGTCAGATTTTTTAGATGTTACATCGAGTGAAATTCACCAATAAGATAATATTTATCGTACTTAGAAATATAATCACACAAACATACAAGGGCATAACCGTAATTTTTTCGTGTGAACGCTCCTCCCAAATTTTAGGGGTGTTCACATACAATAATAGCACAACAAAGAAAATTATGTAAACGTTTTAATTATAAATATATTAATCTCTCAAATTTAGAGATAAAAAAAATATAGGTGGACTATGTGAGATGAGCGGGATGCGATAAACTATGAAAATTGACTCGACCACGACCTTGATTAGAAGAAAAAAAATTGATAAAATATATGCGTGCAGTACGATCAATTACAACTGGATGTACTTCATCGAGTGTAGTATCGACTATTGAATAAAGTGATGTATGTTACCTTCTGAAAGAGACGGGGACAATCCCGGCGCGATATTGGGCAATTTGCACGAAGGCGGGCTGGGCCAAATCAAAGTGCTGACGTGGAGGGTTGCACCACCCGCCATTGTTGTTGGGTAGAGAAGGGTTAGGCGGGCAGAAATTGGTGGCGGTCACCATTATGCTGCCCGAAAGACACGATTTCGGGTTGGAAGAGCACCGGAGCTCGAAGCAAGCTCCGCAGCTCATCCCATTGTTGAACAGAGCTGTACTAAGCGCCGCCGTGTTTGTACCGTACCCTTGGCTGTACAAATTGCCATACCCACAAGCCCCTCCTGAAAAATATTAGCACCCCACTAATTAAAACAAAAGAATTTTTTTTTTTCAATAAATCTTACAAACTCCATATACATATGCCAAATTACGACCACCTCTAAGGTATGGCCAAATTATGAAAAAACCCATTTTATTTGGGTAATTACAGTCATTCCTCATTTTAAATATTTTTACATAAAATTAATGTAATTCAGTTATTTACCGAACCAAATCGTATATTCAGTTCGGTAAACTGTATGAAATGTTGGCGTACTGAAATTGCGGTTCGGTTTTACCGATTTAACATCCCTAAATTTACCTCTGGAGGAGTATTTTAGTAAGATAATACATAATTGAAGGGTGATTGTAATTACCCAAACAGGAGGAATTTTTCGTAATTTGACATCGGTCCCACAAATAAAGAAAATACTCACCCATGGTGCCGGATGCATCACTACCGCCGTAGAAAGTAGCATAAGCACTTTGCCAACCGCCATTGTCACCATAAGTAGCTCTCAGACAGAAGCCAAACAATGACAACAATAGTACTACATGAGAAACCATAGACAAAGCCATTTACAAATTAACAAGAGAGAGAAAGAAGAGAGAGAGAGAGAAGGCTAATTTGTATGTACAAAAGATTCAAGTAAGAGGGGTGTATTTATATAGAGAAAAAAACATGTTGGTATACAGTTTGAAAGCAATATTTTTCATATTTGAGAGGCAACCAAAAAATAAAAATAAAAATTCAAAGTGAGGAAAGAAGCACATGCATTTGTTTCAAGATGAAATACCAACTGCTAATCTCGTAGGCCCTACAAGCACATGCATTTTCTCAACTGTTTTTTTCTTCTAAACAATATAATTATATATTAATAATTATATTTTAGTATGATAATCTTTAGACCTTTTTTGTGAGTATATATGTTGGATTATTTTTCTTCTGGTCTCCCTTAAATTGCGCCGGGCAGGTATCTGCAAGATTTGCAATTTTGGCCCCATTTGACTATTGTATTTTTCTTTAAATAAATATAGTTGTTTTATATGATGTCATTGTATACTATGCTCTACATATACAAACATATATACACATATATGTTGGTGTGTTTTGGGATTTTTAACCCGCTAAATATATTTAATTTAGCCCACCCAAGGAAGTTTGAAAAGAAAAATTTAGGACATTAAATCGTCACATTTTGTACATATTGTACTTTTGTTTATGTTCAGCTAAAAAATATTTACTTATTTTGTGTAACTTTTTTCTGGCTCCGCTACTGTCTAGTACAACAATATAGCATAACTAATATGATATGGATTGATAATTATTAATAGTGACAATTGGCTAAAATCCCTCATGTGTGATTTCAATAGCAATAAAGACAAGCTATTTTCCTAATAAGCAAAGAGTCTCCACTTGTCAATTTTACAAAATTGCCACGCATTTTTATTAGCTAAGAGTCCCTAGAAATAGTGGCCACGTCTACGAGCAACGCTGAGTGTATGTGCGAGGTGCGTTATGTACATTGTATGTCATGCTCTAAAACCCAAAGTTTACCGTCGAAAGTTCACTGCCAAAATCCAGAAGTTGTGTATATTTTCAGAAGTTCAATGCTAATTTTCAGCTGATATCACAATCACTGATAATTTCAGTTAATTTTCATAAGTTCACTGCCAATTTTTAGCAAATTTTCACAAGTCTTCTGCCTATGTTAAGTAAAATTTTCAATACTTCAATGTGAAATTTGGAAGTTCGCTACCGATTGTCAACCAATTTCTGGAAGTGGTCAAAATAAAACAAAATGCACATAAGCCTAAATGATACATAGTCATCGAAATTCGATATAGGTCATGAGCAAAGCTTATGTGTCTTCAAGTTTCATCGTTCCACTTTACGAAAAGCTCGAATACTAAGTAAATTAATCACAACTTACTTAGTAAAATGTTTCATTGTTCCAGTTCAACTCTAAGTACAATAAAAAAATACTTGCTTTTCTATTTTTGTAATGAATTGAAGGAACTCGCAAATAATTATATAGGTTTAGTGGATAAATCTATACTCTTGTATAATAGTTTGCAAATTATACTATAAACGTAAACGATACCAGACTAACTATATGTGACAAACTCAATCTAAAAATTCTTTTTTTTTTTTTTTTGCAAACTACTGATTAATGTATAGTAGTAGTTGTTAACTCAGTCAAATGTGCCCAAAGTCAATTTTAAAGAAAAAAATAATTTGTAGAACCTTAATTTGTGGTGTGCAGCATGTGTCAACTAGTTTGGTGAATAATACATTTTTAGATTCGTTTAAACCCATTTTTCTAATATAATTGTTAGGAGTCGGCAATTATTATTAATTATCATATAGTAATTATAAAATTTTAATTTGACAAATAATTATCATACATTAATTATCATTATTTATGATCACCTACTACACCGATTACTATATTTACTATTTCACCACCGGCCACTTTTATAATTCTTCATTTTTAACAATTTTGGGCATACACGTAAGCTCGAAAATCACATGAATGTATTCATACTCGATATAAGATCGATCATTAAAAGTTTGTTTATGCTTGATTCGTTAACACAATGAACAATATTTAAATAGACACATATATAAACTTAAGTCATTTGAGCTCGATTTATTGCTTTAAAACACAATTTTAACACTTGATGAAATTTCAAAAAGAATCGAACAATCACATTCTTGACTCGACTCGACTCGGCTCAGCTCGTTGTTTACACTGATGTAGCCAAGTTACCTAATTTGTGCATGTGAAAATAATTAGTTTTGGACAACCGAAGTTTGCTATTGTAATAACTAAGGCACAAAATCAATTTCATGATAGGGAAATTAAAAATAGCTGTCGGTTATCATCAAATAAAAAAAATATAATAAGTTAGAAATATTTCAATTGTATATAGGACAATGTAGTTATCATCAATTCATTAGCATCTATGAGGATATAATGGTAATTCGGCCTCCATTTGAGGGGCAGTTTTCGGACCCCATAATAAACGTGTATCAGAGTATTCCTTGAATTTTAGTTTTTATATTCTAAAATACTAAATCTACTTTCAGTTTTATATTGATTCCGTTTCGACTTTAAATGTGATTTTGACATTTTTTTCAATCCAAATTTTGTAAGAGTAAAAACACAAAATTTGTGTTTCTTTGAGTTGATTTTCTATTTCAACTTGAATCAGCTAGATTGGACACTGAGCGAGAAAGTTATGCTTGAATGAGTTACTCGCTAAACTCAAAATAATAAAATTGTAGTCGATGTTCATTCATTAATGCATAACTCTCTCCTACGATATTCAATGTAGCTGATTCAAGTTGCATTTGAAAGCTAACTCAAAGAATTACAAATTTTGTGTTTCAACTTTTGCCAAATCCAAACTATAAACTAGTCAAAATTACATTTAAAACGAAAATAATTCATTAAAATTGAAACTGTATTTATTCCTAGGGACCATGCTCCGTCGTTCTGACATTTTGTTTATGACATAGATAAAAATTCAAGCATAATTTGGAATATCACCACTAGTGTTTGAATTTTAAATTATATTCTACGTGCGTCGGGTAAATTCATTTATCGACCACATCAATTACGAACTTCGATCTCTTAAGAAACAATAAAACACAATCTTATTATCTCATTTCACCATTTGCATTTTTTTACGAATTTACTTTTCATTTATCGTAAAAATCCCTTCGTCAATGCCGCTAATCATGCTTAAGATTGTAAAATGCGTGACAATTAGCAAAATTGTGAAAATTAAAAGATTGTGGGGGGCAAGTACGACTTCACAATCATTTGTCCAATGAGTTTAAAAAAATGAAATACTTAATTATCTTAATCATAAGTAGTTATGATGAGATATTGTAGGTAGAGAGTAGAGAAAGTTTTGGTTTAAAAAAATAATAAATATAATAAAAAAAAGTAAAAAAAATAAAAATAAAATAAAAATAAAAAAAAAAGATTTTGGTTAAGGGGCCTACCATGTTAGGGGCATACGTTAATCCCTGAAATGACGGCCCTTTGCATCCGTACATCATTTTCATAATCTTGTTGACAATTAATTAATTAATTTATAATCCTATAATCCATGGCCTGTATATTGCTTTTTTTTTTTTTTTTTTTTTTTTTTTTTTTTTAAATTTTTAAAATATCGAATAAAAATAGAAAAAAAAAATGCATTGACTTGTGAAAATGATTAACAATGAAGGAATATATGTCTAGGATTTTTTATTTATTTATTTAATTTAAAAAAATTAAAGTAATTACAATTGTATTTCGTGTACATCCAAAATGAATTTATTGGGCAAAATCCCCAATCATCATTTTAAAGTTTTATTTATTTATTTATAAAACAAATGACTTGTTGGGTTTGTGAATGGGGGTTGCCCCTAGAAGATATAATATATTAATATTATAAAGGAGGGGTATCTCACCATATCTTAAGTGGGGTGGTCTTCTATGTGAAATATTTCACCCCCTTGAAGTTTTAGATTCACCTAATATACCTTTCACATCAATGGATCTCATCTTTCTTATTGTTTATAATTTTGTATTAATCATTTTATTAAAAGAGTTATAATTAGAGGTGGAAATCGGAGTGAAATATAGTAAATACTAAATAGAGAGAGAATTCGAGAGAAATATAAAATGTATTATTAATTGAGTGTGTAACCCTAGTTGTGTTCTTACATCTGTATATACATTTTCTAATCTAGAACCTTTTTTATTTGTCCGAGATTTACATTAATCAATCAGTCAATTGATATTAGTTTACACACTTTTCTTATTCGTTTATGGAAATTATCCTCGAATTTTCTGTGTACAACGGCTATTTCCGAGCTCGCCACCTAACTATGTTCCTCTCTCGTGAACTGATTTTTTTAATAAATACCTATTGGATATGCCTCTCCATATATCGCAAAGAGCATTAATGACTAATTGATCTTTGAGATGCTACATTTGGTGAAATACACTGGGTAATTATTAACTGTTGATAATGAAGAACAAAATAAATAATGGACAAGTTCTGCAACGGTGAATACGGTTAAAGGGAATAATTGGAGAAGAATGAACTAATTGGAGAAATAAAATCTTAATTGCCTAAATTAATTAAAGTGATTCTATTAATTTAGTTTTATTGCTATAATTATAATTTATAATTATATATTAATTAATTAAATATTTTAGTTCCACATGTCAAAATCTTAAGAAATCCGATGAATTTCACCCGGTGTTGTACAAAATAGACCATTATTTTCCTTCAAAATAATAAATAAAAAGTAATATAACTTCACCATATGTAGGGTTATTTCTATACTACATCAGGTGCTTTTTTTTTTAATTTCTATGCTACACCCCTGAAGACCACATTTTTTTTACTGTTGATCCATACACACCAATTTAGTTGTGTGTGTCTTTGTGTGGATATGAATGATAAAGATCTCCCCGGTGTATTTCACCTAGTGTAGTATAGAATAAACCCCATATATAGTATATTGAGTTGAAATCAAGTACCCATTTTGTATGAAATTTTGGATGTATTTATTTCGGATAAAGTCAGCTACGATCTGAAATATAGTGCGATTGGAGTTTTTCTCTCTTTTTAGTAGATGTGAGTTTTTCAAGTATTCCACGGGAGGACAACGAATTTGCAACCGTCGATGAAGGGTCATTCAAAAGTGCTTGCGAGGCGGCTGCTGACCCCAA